GAGGAGTGGCTGGTGGGTTTAAACCACCAGCCTTCTGGTTAGCAGTCAAATGCCTTAGGCACTAGGCTACCAGAGCTCTCTGACAGTCACTAGCAGCGTTGTATTTCTTAACCTGGATACTAATTGCCCAAGGTTCACTTTCTTATTCTTCCTTACATGTACATATGTTTCACGTCCTCTTCTGTATCGATGGTACATCTTACACGTGTACACACCTGTCCCGGGGGCGGAGCTGGGGGACCTAACTTACTCTTGGCGTTGGCTTTTCTCTCCCCAGGACTACACGATCACCATGTTCTTCCACCAGACCTGGAAAGATTCCCGCTTAGCCTACTACGAGACCAACCTGAACCTGACTGTGGACTATCAGATGCTCGACAAGCTGTGGGTTCCCGACTGCTACTTTCTAAATAGCAAGCACGCATTCGTGCACGATGTGACTGTGCCAAACCGCGCCTTTCAGCTTCAGCCCGACGGAAGAGTCCGGTATGGCATCCGGTGAGTCTTCAGGGGGCCTGGTGCTGAGACGCCACACGCTTCCTGCTTCCCGCCGAGCGTCCCACGATCACCTGCTGCAGGACAGAGAAGGCTGTGCTTCCAGAGCTGGCTTGCCCTGCGCCCTGGGCCTTCTGTCCAGCAGCCAAAGAAAGCAACCCTTCCCCAGGGCCCCACACCTTGGCTCCTACTGTCCTTTTCATCTGGAGGGGCTTCTGCCCCTTTTCATGAGTCCGGCCTGCCCACACTAACCCAAATGCCCTCTTTTTCAAGAAATTCTCCCTAGTTCCCTCAACTGCAGGCTGCTCTTCCTGTTTTTCAGGTCAAATCTCTAAGCGCCGCTTCCTCGGGGCCTGGGCCCCAGCCCTATGTCTCGCTCCCCTTTCTCTGCGTACTCCCTCCTGGACTGAGCCGGGAAAGTCCCCCATCACACTAGTTCCATTTCCAAGGGCCTAACTGCCCTGTGGAGAAAGGGAGAAACAGATGCTTGCACCTAGGCCACCTGACGAAATAACAATTGCTTTGAGGTTAAGATGAGCTGAGGCTTCAGGAACCTTTAGTGAGGCCTCTTTCCCACGGGTCACTTGGCCCATTGCCCAGCTCCTCTGAGACCCTGCCTCGGGCATGGCAGCTGAAAGCCCCTGCCCACATGTGGCCACACAGCCACGGTCTGCCCCCAGCTGCACCCCTTCCATCCAGTGACACCCGTGGAGACCTCCACAGAGAAGAGGTGGCACACACCTACCTCAGTGGTGCCTTTCTGTGTCTGCATTCGCTTTCCTCGGGCCCTCCGCTCTGACGTGCCAGAGCTTGCTGCCACGCCCCTCTGGTCTCTGTTTCCGGCCCACCACGTCTCTGGGTTTCTTCATCATACACAGATGCCCTCTGTCCTTGAACACATGCAACAACCTTTTCCTCTGGGAGGGAAGCGGGGCGGGAGAGCCCCGTGCTCAGGGACCGGTATGGGAAGATGTAGGTGAGTCTGTTCCTGGCTAGCATAGCGCCCCTCCCTGCCCCGCCGTTCCCTCCAGAAGGGCTGCCTGCCCACCTGACCCGCCCTTCTACCCCTTCTCTTTTCCCTGTGCCTCTGCAGACTCACCACCACAGCAGCTTGTTCCCTGGACCTGCAGAAATACCCTCTGGACAAGCAGGCCTGCAAGCTGGAAATCGAGAGCTGTACGTGTATCTCCTGTGGGCCCTTCTTCCCAGGCTGGGTGGGCAGACGTGAGGGAGCCAGAGGCCAGGTCCCCAGTGAGGGGACCTCATGGCCCGTCTCCCTGCGTCCTCCTCGCTCGTTCGCAATAGACAGGCAGGGAGAGATCTGTATATACAGATGTGGAGAGAGATGGATATTTAGATGCGGATATATATCAGAGAGAGAAGGATGGTGACTGGGAGCAGGTGCCCCTCGCGGGTGTTAACAGTCCTGTGGGAAACGGTCCCTAGTGATTGGGAAATTGTCCCCGAGCCAGTGGGTTTGAGCACGTAGCATCCCTTAGCTGTGCGTTTCTTCGTAGCTGAGCAACACCAGACACAGCTGTCTTTCCCAGTGCCACCCCTCCCCTGTGCTCAGCCTTAGCTGGCCCGCCATAATCCCCACCGAGCATCCCCAGAACACAGGTCCCTCCCATCCAGTCCAGTGGCTGCACAGACTGCCTGCAGGGAAGTGGCCCGTGCCAGTCTTCTGAGACTGGCTAACTCTGCCCTCCCGCACCAGATGGCTACACGGTTGAGGACATCATCTTATTCTGGGAAGACGATGGGCACGCCTTCCTGAGGACTGAGGAGCTGTCCATCCCCGAGTTCAGCTTCCTGGGACAGACGATTACGAGCAAGGAAGTGGACTTCTACACAGGTGGCTCCGCTTGCCCTCTCTCCTGCTTGCCTGGCCTCTGCTGGGGCCTGCACTCTCTGCTACCTCCTCACCCATTTCCTTCTGGATCCTGGCACCTTCCAGCTCCCCTGTGTGAATCCTTAACCCCCGTAGAGTGACATAGACATGGCCAAGTGCCTCCACACCTGTTTCCTCATGTGTTTCAGACCGTACCTCAGCTGCACTGTGCCACGTGGGCCTATTGAGCCATGCATAGCCACAGGCCAACTGGGCATCGGGGCTTGCTCA